GGGGGGGGGGGGGGCAGCAACTTTATTGATTGGTTTTTGTTTGTAAGGATGTCTCTTTTTTTCAATCTGTATAGCAAATATTGACTTGGGTGGTTCTTATATTGAACGTACACTTCCTTTATTAATGTTTGTGGTACTTCTTGGTATGCTCCAGCAGTAAATGTGATGTGTATTTTTGAAACTTCCCCAACAGAAACTAAATTGGATGTGTGTTCAGTCTGTAGAATTTGGCTGCTCCATTCGGAAGACATTACAATTTCAAACACTGTTGGGGGTTTGACTTATTGAATATATACATATATACGTACTAGTATTTATGAACGTGCGTTGCACGTTAATAATGGCACGTGATGATTTAAATATTTATTTATATGAAGGAATAATAAAATTTAATTAATAAGAGAAATTTTATGTATAATAATACAACAATCATCTAAATGCCGAAAATTATTACATTAGCATAATACATAAATTTAAAATAAAAGGACATTATCAAAACTTACACAAATGATCAATTGTGTCATGTTAGTTGGATAATTATGTATTATAGTTTAAAAGTATTTAATGTGATGGTATTTTAACGAATATTTCTTGTGGACAATGTTTTTTTGTATATGTTTTCTCCTAATGCTTTGGTTGCTCTGCTTTAACCAGAACTCTTGTTGTCAATCTTGATATCTCTCTTGAAAGCGCAACATACAGTTATTCGTGCAAGAAAATATATTGCGGTAAATATAGTCCAATATTTATGATGTTTGTCCTTGTGCTTTATTTATTATATTTGCAAAACATAAACATACTAAAATTTATTTTCACACAAGTTTAAAAGAATATTCCTTAGTTTCGGAAGACGAAAGTTAAATTCAGGGATAAGAATATACTTAGAATCACATTGATCAGTATCTTAATTTTTGCATGTATAACGTTATTGTCAAAACTTCTGTGTACCATATGTGTGCTATTACATAAGCTATTCGGCGTATCTAAGTTTTTCAGTAGCATGACGAGCATATTTTTCTTCAAAATCAACTTATATACAATGAAAGATCAATTTTAACTTAGTCTATTATATAAACGGTGATACTAACATACGTAAAAAATAATAAACTTGACAAGAAACATGTATAGTAGAAGGCCATTTGGTAATAAAGTATTTAAGTATTCTTCTTGGTAGTAATTATTGGTATCATTTTCTACTGAGTCAAAAACAGAAAAATATTTTATTTTTACTATAAAATTTTGCAATCAACCTTTTATTTAGTTGATCAACATATTCATTTCTGCTAGCTATGATATCTTTTTAGTTCTATCATGCGATTTGCACAAATTGTATTTTAATCTAATGATAGAAATATTTCTCTTATTAAATGCACTACGATTACCGTTGGGATTGATAATCAAGTGTTTAGGAAGAACTAAATCATCTTTTATTGGATGCTCTTCTTCGTTTCTGACATGAAACAAGAAGACACTGAATATTTGATCTGTTCTTACTATATATTTCTTGTCAGTTGAATCTTTTTCATTTGAGGCCAGAAGTATAACTTTGACAGGCTAGCTTTTACAGCCTCTGCTTTTGTTGATTTTGGAACTACTGGTAGTACTTGACATAAATAACATCCCAAACCATTATTTTCTACCAAACGGTTCATTAATATCCAATTTATCTCTAGAACTCCGCGTAATTATTTCGATCGTTTAATACTTAGCCATAAGTGTTTCATCCCATATTATCAATTTTGCTCTCCTTATAAATTTAGCATTATTGCTCTACTTTGATATATTTATGATGGTTATTTAAATTGTTTAAAGAGGTTATATCAAATCTAAAGTGGGTGGCCTCACAATAAATTCGTTATTAGTACACCACTTGCTATTATTGCTAACAGTGATATGCCTCTTGATATGATATTTAAAAGTAATGCATGACATAGAAATATTTTTTCGATTCGCCTGAGGCATCTACAAAGAATAATCTCGTTATAGCAGAGTCAACTCTTTATAATATAATCTTGAAAGTTTGTTCTTGTTTTGGATGTGAATATCTAAAGTGGGTGGCCTCACAATAAAAATAATGGTTTGGGATGTGATTTATGTCAAGTACTACTAGTAGTTCCAAAATCAACAAAAGTCATGACATAGAAATATTATTTCGATTCGCCGGAGGCATTTACAAAGAATAATCCCGTTATAGCAGAGTCAACTCTTTATAATATAATCTTGAAAGCTTGTTCTTGTTTTGAATTTAGCTTTGATTGTGCTTCCTCAGACACTTGTATGGCATTTTGATTCTTAATAATATACTAACCTTTTTTAACTTTGTGTTCTAACGCTCTTTTTATGAAATAAATTTATGTAACTTAAGATTTTTTTTAACTTGAATAAGAATTTTACTCATATGATGAATTTAAAAAATAATTGAATTGGATTTTCTTGCTAAATAATTAATTAAAAGATTTAATTATTTGGTTTTAACATAAAAAGTAATTTATCCTATGTTGATTATCTTAATATTAGTTCATCTCTTGTTTTGAATATTTAATCTTAATTATAATTTTATCCACCATAGATTTTATTTTCAAAGAGTAAAAGATTGATATGACATTTCACTTTTAGATCTTTATGGTTGTAGAATCATTAGTGGTGTTGACTCTTACCAACCATTTTTTTCTCTTTCTCACACATTAATATTCTTAAATATTTTCTTAGTTGTTGTTTAATAATTGGGTATTTTTCAATATTACATGAAAAATTGATTAAAAAAATATTATTTTAGTAGAAAAATAGTTCAAATATAATTTAAAAATATATTATCGTGGGGGTATTCTTTTCTCAATTTCAACTCTTTATGCAGTCCATTTAATATTACTTTTATTTATTTTTTAGTATTAGACATTATGAAGTGATAATGTATTGCCAATATGGAGGGTTCTTATGGAATTGATTTTATTAAACATTCCTACATATTTTTAATAAGAATTTAATAGACAAAATTTTATTAATTTTAAAATATTAAAAATTAGCATAGAAGGTATTGAAGTCCAAAAAATAGGTTATTGCAGTTATGTCATCTTCCTATGAGTTCTTCCATTTAATAATTTAGGGCTATTTTGGTATATTAATATTGTATTTATGCTTTTATAATAATACATGCTCTCCTTTTTCTAAATGAATTTGGACAATATAATACATTCTCGAATTAAATTAGTAATACGACATTATAATACGTTTTCAAATTAAATTAGTAATAGAAATTTTTAAGAAGTATATCCTGAAAGTAATAGAATTACATGACTAAAGATATTTACTTATTCAATTTTATATGAATTAGACAGCCCGAAAGTAATTATACTATAGGATTCCTAGAGGTAATCATGTAGGATTCCTAACGTGTAGTATTGTGTCTTAAAACTAATAGGATTATAAGACTAATATTTAGAATTTCGGTTATGTCCTTTTATTATGAGTTATTATGCTTAATATTACAAGGTTATTTTTGTAAACCGACATTTTATTCATACTTATATATATATATA